AGTGTATGCAGCATGCTTGAATTCTGCATTAGCCCGTCTACGGGATATATGGGAGGAAATTGGAATACCAGAAGACCAACGGCTACAGAGAACTGACGCTGTAAAGAGGCATGTAAATGTAAGTGTGATTTGTCCTTTTACACATTGACATTGTGTAATCTTGCCTTGTAAATGCTAGTGTGAGGAACCTCCGACTCCAAGTATTCCAAACCGTTTAACAAATGCCTTTATATCCAGTTAAAGTCAAGTCTTGAAGTAGGTGCTAGGAGTAACTTTACAAATTAGCCAGTAATAGGACTAGTGCAAGAATCTGAGTATTTAAACTGTCAGCTTCTCTCTGTAAAGATGTAGGTTTTCTCTTTATATTAGCTTCAGTTTGCAGAGTTTGTCTCTTGGCTGGTCAGAGGCCCCCATTAGTTTGGAAGTTTCTGCCTTGTCATATACCTGATCTCTGTTATTTTCAGTCTTCCCACTCCTAAGTGTTCAAAGCTTTAAAAAAAAAAAAAAGTACAGCACTGTTTTATATTCTTCTCCTTTATTATGTTACATTATACTGTTTTGAACTATTAGTAGAGGATAGTGTGCATATGAGAACAGTGAGCGTCCTGTGAGTAGTTGTCAGACTTTAGATGACTCTCCAGGCAAAGTCTGGCTTAGACAAAGTTTGTAACCTAAAATAAGGAGGTAAATGTACTTCAGGCTAATCCTGCATAATGATACGGCGACTTGTTCTCGTTTTAACAACCAACTGAACTTTTTAGGGCTAGTTCACACCAGATGCAGTTGTGATGCAGTCCATTCAGTTTGGCTGCTGCAGCCAATTACATCACAATGCTTTCCTATGGGGTTTCTGCTGCTCTGTTCACACTAGTGCAGTCCGTTCTGATGCAGCCAGAAAAAATACTGCTTGCAGTATTTTAGCTGCATCGGATCGCAACAGTACGCATCAAAACACATGCAAACGCGCTTGAAATCCTATTTTAAGCACACACAAAAACCCGGCTCAATCGCGGTAAAACAGCTGCACAGACTCACACGTTTCTGGTGTGAACTAGCCCTTAATATGTACTTAATGTGAACATGTGGTGGTTTTTTTTTTCTTATGTGGGGCAGTGCAACACATTTTTTAACTGCTGACCTTACTTGCCTTGCCTTCTATCCCCCCACTAGTCCTTTCAGCCGCCAGGCTTGATGAGGTATACCTGGCATACATGTTGCTCTGCTTTCCTTAGCATCCTTATGCATGTGTGTGGTCAGAATCTTCCCCTCTTTATTCCCAGTGACTGAACAAAGTGGCAGAGATGTGGGAAGAAGGCAAGTATACAAAGCTAGGAGGGTCGGCAGTTAAGTGAACCTGTTGGTTGTCCTGTATGGAAAAAGCAAAGATCCACTTTTAGGGTTTCAGCAAACATGACCAATCCATTAATGTTTTGTACAAATGTAATTAACCCCTTGTAGGTTGCAGTCTACTTCATTTTTCTATAAAATGAAGACATTCTCTTCTTATCCCTGTGCTCTTTATGCGCAATAGATTCTTTTAACAAGAATGATAGAAGAAGAAGAAAGTTTGAAGGAACGCCTCTTAAAGAGTATTGATGTGTCTCGTAAAGAACTGTTTGTGCTTTGCAGTGAATTGCACCTTCCTCCATTTGAAGTGAGTACATGATGCTTTTGTGGATGAGACCTCATCTAATTTTTTTATTTTCAATTTTTGCAACTGACATGTAGTTTAATCATGCTAACCAAAATCTTGATTTTGTGTCTACCACATACTATAGAGAGCGTGTCTAGACAATCTTGATATTATCTAAAGGTCACTTAGTATTACATTTACTGCTTCCTATTGCCTCACATGTAGGCCATCCTGCATAGGTTTCTAGTTCAATCGCTGTACTTTGTGTGCTCTCCTTATTTATTAAAAAAACGTTTTGGATATAGTGGATAAGGATTAGATTTTGTTTTTGCTGCTATCTGTGCCTCAGTTGCAAAGGTTTCTCCTTGCTCACTATTACTATGACATCAGACAGCTTTTTATTGCTGTGTCCATGATGCAGATTTTTCACTACTTCCTAACTGGGGTCCTAGTCTTTCCCTAGTTTACAAAAATCATATCGGTTGTGTTGCTGTTGAAGTTTCCTAACATTCTGTTTGGAGTAAGAGGATTTGTTTTATTTTTTTTAATCCTCTATCTGCTCATATTTGATAAACTATCTTCCAATGCTTGCTTATTCTTTGGCATTCTCTTTGCAGGAAGATGAAGAAAACACTATCCTACAGCTTGAAAAGGACATGAGGACACGAGTTGAAGTTATGTTAAAGCAAAAAAAAGAAAGAATTCAGGAACTGAAGCAGTTAAAGCAGCGTGACCAAGAATTGTGTGACATCCTGTGCACGTCTCTGTACTTAATTGACAGCCCTGTCCCGAGCCTGGATGAGCTGGATCAGTTCAGGAGACATTTGGCTGCACTTTATGCTGAAAAGGTAGCAGTACAATGTAAATGTTACAGGTCCTTGTGTTTTTAAAAACCTGTAGATGAGGAAAGGGGTTGGGATGTGACTAGCAGTCATAACAACCAGTCTCATTCCAATATAGTGCAGGTTGGAAAAGAAAACTGCCCACTTTACCTTTTTTCTCCAGATTTGTTACATGCGCTCTAATGTTCTCAAACTTTATTTTGCCGCCCCTCAGGAGCGTCGTGAAGCTGAGTTTGTAAAAACAAAGAAACAAATAATTTTATGCATGGAGGAACTGGATCGATTGCCTGATACAAGCTTTGAGAGGGATGTGGTCTGTGTAGAGGAAGAAGCTTTCTGCCTGTCAAAGGAAAATCTTGAAGCTTTGGACCAGCTTCTTTTTCAGGTTAGAGACAGTTTTTCAAAGCCTGTCTCCCTATGTATCGGTCAGTGACAACTTGCATTATGAATTAGGGACTTGTGCTAAGAGCATATTACAAATATTAAAGAATTTGCCAAAACGAAATAATGCTCCTTTTTTCTGTTTTAATAAATAATTTTGCAGCTAGAAGAACAAATTGGACAGAATAAAGCACTGAGTGAAGAATTGCGAACCAAAATCCTCGAACTCTGGGATAGACTTCAGGTTCCAGAAGAGGAGAGGAATGCTTTTGCTGTTCATATGACTGGATCAAAAGGAAAAACTATTCGAGCAGTAAGATTTAAAATATTAAATCCATTTTTATTTGACCATTTTGTACCATTCTTATTGTTTGATTTACACAGTAAAGTGTATCTGTAGCCAAAGAATGTTGTGTGTTTTTTTTTTTTTTTCTTTTGTTTTTCCTGTCCTTTTTGTCCTTTTTTCAAGATTATCCTTTACTTATATAGACACAACAAAGTGAGGGGGAAATCCTAACTGTAGACAAGTGTCACTGGAAAAGCTGTCCCAATTAGATTTATCTCTCGTCTCCTTTTTTATTTACTACCACTTTCTGTCCTGGTGACAACAGTCCTCGGTGGACACCGCTATAGAAATCCTGACAGGTTTTAACGCCTCACTTATTCCCCCAACTAAAAATAGAAAAAATCTTTATAAATGCACTCTATGGTACAAATTGTGTACTAATGCTTTTAAATGAGTGTGTATTGATTTGATTTCAGCCCTTGCGTTGCCCAGTGCAAATGTATTTCCACATAATGACTGCTCTTGTCTGGAGTGTTACCACATTTATCTCTGCCTCATCTATTTCTCTATTCTAGTGTTTGGAGACTCCTGTTATAGACTATATAGTAAAGTAAAAATTAACACCAACAATAGTCGCTCATAATGTGTGGCCAACGAATCTATGATATTATGTTTTAACCTTCGTTCTCTATTTCTTTCAAGTTACAAGATGAACTGGACCGTTTGCAACAGCTGATGTTGCAGAATATTAAAAATGTAATTGAAGTTATTCGTACAGAATTAAAATCCTACTGGGACAAATGTTTTTATAGTGATGAACAAAGACAATCGTTTGCTCCCTTTTATGATGGTAAGTCATTTTACTGCTGTACTGTACACTGTTAGCTTCTGATTTATAATATACACTAATAACTATTCATCACTTATCAGAGGATTACACTGAAGACCTGCTCAGTCTGCATGATGCTGAAGTCAGCCGCCTCAAGGAACAATATGAAGTGCATAAAGAGATGTTTGAAGGGGTTCATAAGTGGGAAGAGAACTGGCATCTTTTCTTAGAGCTTGATGTAAGTAAATTAAAAGTCTATCTTAACCCGGAATTTCAATATTGCAGTGTCCCAGTCTGGCTGTATCAGTGTTTTATTTTTTATTTTTCGTGTGTGTGTTTTTTTCTCTGGCCAGTAAATTTCTATCTGCCACTTTTGCTGGTCAGCTTGGTCTCTTGAAGGAAGTTGAAAAATAACAGACTTTCTGGCTGATTCAACAGGGAAAAAGTCTAAACAAAATAAAAAACTAATGCAGCCATCACATCTAAAGTTTGGTTAGCTGCAATTTATTTACATTTTTGGGATTTGGATATGCTTTAACCTCTTGCCGTCCGCCCGTAGTAAAAAAACGGACGGACGGCACTGCAGCATCTGCGGGTTGCCGTCTCCAGACGGCAATTTTTTTCTGCTCGCGGGCACGACTCATAGTGAAGTTTTGTGTTATTTTTGTTTTAAGTAGAAGCAATGTTCCCTTAAATACTTTTTCATGTAATAAAAAAAAGTTATGTGGATCAGTATTCTATGTTTTACAGATTCTAACATTGCACAGGCCATTTAATCTATGCCTTAAATTTTTTTTTCCTGCCAATGTCGTGTAGAAAAAAGCAACAGACCCGAACAGGTTCAACAACCGTGGAGGAAATCTTTTAAAAGAAGAAAAGCAACGAGCGAAACTACAGAAAATGCTCCCCAAGGTACGACATCTATAGAAGCCTCTATGGTTTGTTAAGCTGAATCTCTGACATGGTGAAAGCTACACTTCTGTGAGATGTGATCTTTACGATATTGAGCATTTTACTAAGGAAACCTTGTGTGGGAACAGTTGCAGTAACTATTTTGCACAGTGCTTCTTAAACTTAGTATAAAAATATAATCTGTGCTATATTGTGAAGGGTTTTCCTCTGCCACTTTATCGATTGCAACTTGTATGTGTAAATGTCTACTCAATAACACAGCCAAGGCAACACAGGTCACAGAAATTTGAATTTCAACACTAGGCGGCACATTAAGGAGCCTGCACTGCTGTTGCCTTAGAAACATGTTCGATTTCGGGTCATCCTAAATGAAACCTGCTAGTCAGTGACTTTCTGCCTAGTGAATCCAGTATAAGGATGATGGCTTTGAAGCACTTTTTTTTTTTTGTACTCTAAGTGTTTTACTGCATTGTCAACTAGGGCTGCAACAACTAATCGACATAATCGATTATAATCGATTATTGAAAAAGTTGTCAACTTTTTCAATCGATTAATCGGCTTCCCATCAGTTGGCCCTGTTCACAGCTCCACACGCTGTGCGCCGCACCTCCTCCCCACCTCACGCTCGCCGCTGCCAGACCCGCTCGCATCCACGCTCCACACGCCGCACCTCCTCCCCGCCTCACATTTCCTGCCCATCCACGATCGGCAAGGCACGCGGGGAGATGTAGTAAGGAGGAGCAGGGGTGGGGGGATGACAGCAGCTGATAGACAGGTCCAATCTCAGAAGCAAGTTGCTGGAAGACTGCTCAGGTAAGCCTGCACTTTCCCACACATGGTGCTCTATAATGTATTGCTGGGATTTGTATTTCTCTATAGCTGATGGTACATTGTACTGTACATTATACATAGGAATACAAATACCAGCAATGCATTATACACTGTATGTATAATGTATTGCTGGGATTTGTTGTACTCCTCTATAGCTGGTGATATTCTGCATTGCGCTGTATAGAGGACTACAAGTCCCAGCAATAATACATTATACAGCGCAATGCGGAATACCACCAGCTATAGAGGACTACAACAAATCCCAGCAATAGTACATTATAAAGTGGTACAATGCTAAATACCACCAGCTATAGAGGACTACCAAACCCAGCAATAGTACATTATACAGCGCAATGCAGAATGCCGCCAGCTATTATGTACTATTGCTGGGATTTGTTGTATTCCTCTATAGCTGGCGGTGTTCTGCATTGCGCTGTATAATGTGCTTTTGCTGGGTTTTGTAGTCCTCTATAGCCGGTGCCATTCTGCATTCATTGCTGTATAATTTTACACTTTCCATTTCACTATATTGCACACCACACTATCTTTTTTTTCTTTTTTACTTCCACTGCTCCAAGCTTGCTCCTGTGATGGACTACAACCTCAATACAAACTAGTAGTCCTATCACTGGAACCATTTTTTAAACTTTATTTTATTGTTTATCCGATTAACCGATTAATCGAACTTAATAATCGGCTAACTAATCGATTTTGAAAATAATCGTTAGCTGCAGCTCTATTGTCAACAATTGTGCTTTTTTTTTCATTTTTTACTGATGAGCATTCAAAATATATAATTTTGTAAATGGGTCCAAAAGTTTGTTTGTTTTTTAAAGCTTACTAAACCCCGGAACAAAAATGTAGCATGTCTTGCTTTACCCATCTTCAAATGTGGTGGCTGCATCCATTTTTTTTCCTTAATTTCTCCTGGTGATCCTGCTAGTAACACACTTGTGTCTTGGAGTGGTTCCACTCTGTGAAGGAGCAACGGAAAACAGTGAGTTATGAAACCAAATTAACCCTTTGCGTAGCATATAAACACAATGAAAGGGAACCCCTACTACCAGCCTCTGGCATGATGGACCATTTTAAGGGCCAGTTCACATAAAGAGTGTTCTCGGAATGGTATGTTTTATAGCGTTACGCTGTTTTGTTGTCTTGATTTACAGTTAGAAGAAGAACTAAAATGTCGGATTGCATCATGGGAAGAGGAACAGCAACAAGAGTTTTTTGTGAACGGCAAGAAATTCATGGACTATGTAGCAGAGCAATGGAATCAGTTTCAGCTAGACAAAGAAAAGGAAAAGCAGGAGAGGGTAAGGTTTTTGTTTGAAGAATGTACTTTGAATTTCCTATTGTAGTATTTTGATTGTATTAAGATCATGTACAGCTTAGGAGAATAAACTTTTCTTTCTTTTTTTTAATGCAGCTAATGAAGAAAACGCGTCAGTTAGAAGAGGAGATGTATTATGGAACTGCTCCAAAAACGCCTAATAATAAGCGGAGAGTACTTGGCTCTACTACTCCAAGTAAAATACGCAAGGTGTGCTCTGATTATTTATAGCATATTTTTATGTCTTCCATTTAAGTATGCTGTATAATAAAGCAACCAAGTGGCCTATGTTAAATTGTTTACCTTGATTTGCTTATGCCCTTGATACTACTGTATAGCCATCATTCTAGGTAGTTTAAAAGTGCAATACTCCCAAAACAAAGTCCAGACTGTTTAGTGCTTTCTTTTAAGAATAACAGGAGCTCTGAGACTATCCCAGAAAATGTACAGTTCACAAAACTAACCATGTGCTTACCATTGTTCAGTTAGAAATCCCAGAGCATATTATATTACTACCTATCAAATAGAAAGTGAATGTATCTGGACATGGAAGGCACATTTTAACAGTTTTTTAAACTTGGGCAGTGTCTCAAAAAGAAGAGCTGACAGTATATTCTACCGCCTGTTAGTATTTGGAGATTAAAGAAGTCCTGGAAAAATATTAACCCTTGCAGTGGGCCACCTCCGCACTGCAAGGGTTAACTGCTCATTGTTGACTAGGTTTAAAAAAAAAAATTAATACTCGCTCGTTAGACCTGGCCCTTCCAGCCTCTCTCCCCCTCTGCAGTGGTCCAAGGTCCCATAAATCATCACATCTATACACGTTGTATAGACGTGAAGATGCTGAGGAAGATTCCAGTGAAGGAGAAGACGGGCTGGGCGGCTTGGAGCTTCGGGTGAGTAATAACTTTTTTTTTTTTTTTCTAGACAACAATGAGCACTTGACCCTTGCATTGCTGGGGTAGAGCCACACTGCAAGGGTTACCGGATTCCTGGAGTCCTTCCTTAAACTGCCGGAATG